AAGTGTTGACACATACTAACTGATCTACAGATCTTGTGGAATGAATGCATGAATGATAGAATGATGAAGAACTCAGACCAGAGGGTGAAAACTCCAAACAGGCATATTTCAGTAAAGAAGAGGTAGTCTCCAATCCTTGGAAGTGAGCATGCCAAGGCTATAGAGGCGTCTCCCATGTTGGATTGGTGGCAGGGGAGGGGTGATTTCAGTTTCCTTTGGCTTCTCAGTAAAATCTTCATTAGGTTTGGAATGAAAACGCTGGTGACAGGGTGCTGTCTAGTCATTATCTTTGTTAAATTATAGACTGGGTATTTTCTCTATCTAATAACTAGAGAAAGAGAGGCCCAGAGGGTAGGGGAGGCAGAGAGAAAGGGATTAACAGTGTTAGATTCTGCTTCTGGGTGCTGTGGGAGTGGCCTAAGATGCTGGTGGGCTTGCTTAAATTTCAGTAAAATAAATGAAGACAGTTATGGCTAATCATTTCCAGCTCGGTTGCTGTTTTTACCTCTGGTCTCTTGTTGCCTGCTTCTGAACCCCACCTGCCCCATGGCTGTCCCTTCTGTTCCCTTTCTCATAGGGAATGGCACCACCCAAGTCAGAAATCTCTCCTAGTTGCCTCAATTTCCATTCTCCCCATCTTCATCCAGTCACCAAATCTTGTCCTTTTCATCTCCTTAAAGTCCCACTGCAGTTCCCAGCTCAGGTCTCATAATCTCTTTTAAAGTCAATGCACCAGTCTACCCTTGTCTCCTTGAACCCTGTAACTTGGAACCTCCAATCCATCTCCCCTCATATAGGCTGAGATCTTTCTAAAGCATGAATACGGCCAAGGCTACACCCTGGATAAAGCCCTGTAACAGCTCTGCATTGCTCTGATCACTGAGTCCATCATCCTTAGCATGGCCCCCAGGCCCTGGCTGACCTCTGGCTCTGACTTGCCCTCCCACCTCACTAATCACCTGCATTGTGCCTATCATATTATGCTTCCAGAGACTCACAACCCCTGCAGTTCCCTGAAGGTTTCATATCACTTCACACCTTTGGGCCTTTGCTCATGCTGGCCCATCTGCCTGGGTTGCTTCTCTACAAGTTTAACTCCCACTTTTCCTTGAAGGCTCAGCTTAAGTCACTACTCTGCATCCTAGGACCTGCAACCCAGCATGAGTCCCAGTCTAACTCTCAGGCTCCTTTCTCCTGATGAGTGCCACAGGGAGAAAACAGCCATATCTTGCCAAATTCATTAATGTGGCTGATTTTAGACCTGCCTTTCCCCTATGTTCTGGAGCTAAGAAACCATGGACTAGTTATCCCTTCCTCACATCCAACATGGTATGAGCCAGTCTCCACTTCATAGTTTTACTGTGAAAGTCAAATGAGATGGTGGATCCTTTGCAAATATTTATATGCCTTTTTATTCAGCAAATATCCCCTGACCCTTGCTAAGAACAATCCAGGAGGCATCATGTTGGGTAGTTGTGTGGCCTTTGCCCTTGAGGAACCCAAACTAGTGGATCTTATGCCTGCTCTCCTGCACTGGACACTGAACAACTTTGGGTCAGGGACTAGTTATTCACCCTGTGTCTGGTGGGTACTTGGGGGATATTTTCCGTGTGAGTGAGTGAATGAATTAATGAATATGTGAGTGAATAGTGTTCCAGGGAGAGGGAAAAACTGATGCAAATTCATGGAGATGTTAGGGGGCAGGTCACATACAAATGGGAACTGCAAATAGTTAAATGTTGCTGGGGCTTAGTGTATAATGGAGGAATGTTCAGTAACGAGGCCTGAGGGTGGGAGAAGGTAGTGGGTGAGGCCACAAGGGGCCATATGTACATATAAAACAGATGGGCTTCAGAGCAGGGCAATTGGGGGGATTTTAAACTGGGTTTAGGAGAAGTCTTCTGCTGCAGCATGCGTTACAGGTGATGATGGGAGGCTGTCATGGGGGTAGGACAGTGAGGAGGCTGTGCCCATGGAATGGAGAGCTCTCAGGAGATAGAATGTGTTAGCTTTGGCAAAGGACTGACAGGGTAGATAAGGAAGAGATAGGGGTTGGGGGTGACTATGGGTTCTGACTATTCACACATTGAATGTTCCCCTTGTGTGTGTCTTAGGTTGCCTTGGTGACTGCCCTGGTGATGAGACAATGTCCTCAAAGTACATTTTAACCAGTTTCACCTCAGAAACTGATACCAGCTGGGGAGAATGGTCCTTCACTCTCTGTTTAGCAAATGAAGAAACTGAAGAACAGAGAAGAAGGAATGACTAGTGCATGAGTGTCAATGGAGAGACTCATTACACAAATCTGTTCCCATCCCTGTGGCAGACTGGTTGAAGGCCTAGATTCCTCTGTTCCCTGTATCCATGTACCTTAGTGATGTGACTTTGCTCTTTTTTCCAATCAAAGGGGGAGTCTATTTCTCCACTCCTTTGAATCTGGGCTGGGCCTGTGACTTGATTTGGACAACAAAATAAAGTATATGTTACACAATTTCTGAGGTGAGGCCTTAAGAGATTGTATCTTCTTTATTTATCCTCTTGGAGTGCTGTCCTGAGACAACATGCAACCTGGTCTAGCATACTGGATGAGAATGTGGAGAAGAGCCATGGCACCAAGGCCTCAGCCAGTACCAACTGCCAGAACTATGAGTGATGCCGTCTTAGACCTTCCAGTGTAGCTGAGCTTCCAGCTGAATGCTGCTCACCAGTGATCCCAGGTAAAGCCAGCAAGGGATTCAGCCACCCGTAAATTGTGAAAAATAATAAATTACTGCTCTTCTAAACTACTGAAATTTGGGGAGTGGTTTGTTATGCAGCAATAGATAGCTGAAACAACTTCTGAGCTCCCATTATCAGTAAATGGCTTCACTGTCTACCTGGTTGTTTATGCCAGTTCCATTTTCCTCATATCTCACATTTAAGCCATCACCAAACCTGGGAATTTTACCTCATAAATACATATCAACTTTGTATACTTTCCACTTTCCCCGGTACTATGATGTGATTTCTGATCCTCTTCATCTCTCACTTGGACTGTTGGAGCAATTTCTAACTGTGTTCCCTACCTCCTGTCTTTGGGCTCCCTATTCTTCCCATCCAACCTGTCATCCTACCACAGTCAGAGCTATCTTTCTTATATGCATATGTAACCATGTTATTCCATTGCTTGAGATCTTTTGCTTATAAGGTAAATTCTCAAATCTCTAACATGATACATGTGGCTTTGGACCACCTGGCGCTTGTCTCTATTTCCAATGCTATATTCCACCACTCTTCTCATTGACCTCTATTTTTTAGAGCTGTTCACAGAAGCTTGTTCACCTTCTCTTACTTGTTCCAGTTCTCCCATTGCATTAAGGTAACCCACTGAAGGAGTCAGATGAAAACACTTGACAGGTCAACACCTCTAAATTCCTAGGCTGGCCATAAGGGATTCACACTGGCATAGATTTGAACCTTGTAAAAATATGAACATACCAAATGACATCCACACTTAAGCTAATATGTTTTCTAACTGACTAAGTCTCATTCAACAAAAAGTATTAATATTATATTTCATGTAAAAACCAGGAGATGGAGAAGACTGATTACTCAGGCAACTAGAAAAAGATTCAAGGAAATTTTGTTTGAAAGGCTCTTAATCACAATAGTGTTCACTTAGCAGTCACTATCACATAATATAATTTGATTTTCTTTGTTCATCTTTCTGGCAGGTCACTTGCTAGTCAATAGGGAGGTAGCTACTGGGGGCACAAATGATACAGCCAAAATACAGTCCCAGAGGACTACAAGAGAAGTCCTGAAGGAGGGTCAGTTTCAGTAAAGGCACAGAAGTAATTGAGTACTCTCAGAAGAAGCAGAAGCTATAGGAGAGTTTGGAGGAGGCTTCTAGGGCGCACAGTGAGAAGATCTGCCAGGGAAGTAGACAGTGGGAAGAAGAGTGAAAGTGAGGAGTGTGGAGAAGCTCACAGCTGTATCAGATAAGTCAGAGAGAGAAGTCAGACAACCAGAGAGACTGTCCATTGGGTGCTTTCCTAGGTTAGAAAAACAAATTGTAAATAGAGTCATAAGGGAACTTGTGGAAAAAATGGTTTTGGTATCTGACTCAGACCTCAGATTTAGAATGGGAAAAGAGTGTGGAAAGGACAATGATTCTAAACCAAAGCTGGCAGCTAGCTCCTATGACCCTAGGAAGACTTGAAGTGAAGTCCAGGTCAAGATGGGCGGCAAGTGCCAATTGCCTCCTCTATCCGCCTCCCCTGGCAGAGCTGGGTCTTCCTAATGACTAGGCAAGAACATTTCCTCACTCCAGGCTACTGCTGGTAATGGGAAGCCATTGAAAGTTTTTGTTTTGTTTTGTTTTAACTAGGTTGATGGTAATATGGGGACATTCAGAAAAATCACTCAGGCTTCTGGTGTAGAGGGTGGATTGGAGAGTGGAGGCAGGGAGACCCAGTAGGATTCTGTTTCATTAGGCCACGCAAGAACCAGGGTGAGAGCAGTGGAATGGAGAGGAAGGGCCGGGATAGGATATGTTAAGGAGGGGTTACTAACTAAACTAATGGGATGTAGTGTGCGAAGGAGTGCATAGGGTAGAGCACAGTGCCCAGGTTTCAGTTTAGTTTCCTCTTGTAGTAAGAGGTCCAGGTTCTGCCTCTTTCCCTGGGCTTTTGTGAGGATGAAGTGACATAAAGGACAGGAAATAGCAAAGCTGGATACCCACTATCACCTACATTATCATCAAAGCTCTCTGATCACCCTAGTAAGTTCGGTCTGCGGAACGAGGCGTGAGAATTGAGATAAACCACAGTAATCACTCAGGTATCGGAGAGCGTGAGAGCTTGTGGCCCCAGGATGTCTCGGATTCCCTGCACCTGCCGGCAGCTGGGGGGCCTGGGCGGGGCGAACACGGACTCCGCCCCTGAGCGGAGCAGGGGTGGGGCCTGCACGAGGCAGCGGCGGAGCCGAGCGGCAGCCGGAGCCCCAGCCCTAAGTCGCCGCGGTGGGCTCCAGACCCGCCCCGCCCCGCCCTTCTCCGCGAACCCCCTGCGCTTTCCGCCGCCCGCCGCCCGCCGCCAGCCCCTCTGCGCTGCCTGGGAGCGAGCAGCTCGTCCGCCACCCGGAGTCCCAGGTAAGGGGCGCGGCCCCGGCGCCCCGCCCCGCGGGGATGCGGGACCCATCCCCGGCTCGGGGCGCTGAGGAGGAGCGCAGGGCTGCGGAGGGGACGCCGAGGCGAAGGGGCAGCAGAAGGCAGCTAGGGAGGGGGCGCGCGGCGGTGAGGGAGGCGCGCCGCCTGGGGAGCGGGCGCCGAGCGGGGTCTAGTCGGACCGCGAGGCCGCAAGCGGAGCTTCAAGGGCGGGGGCCAGCGGGAGTGAGGGGCGAGAAAGAGGGCGCCCGGGCTGAGGAAAAAGGATGAGCGGCAAGCGGAGGGCAGTGAGAGACTGGGGGCAAACGGGGCGTTGGGGGCGGGGGAGCCGAGAGGGGCAGTGCGGGAAGAGGGTGCAGGCGGCGGAGGGGGTGCTGAGGGGAAGGGTGAGGAGAGCGAGGGCCACGGGGGGCGAGGAGCCACGGGAAGGAGACTGGACTGGTAGCGTGGTTTTTGAGCGGGAGAGAAGTGAGGTGGAGGGGAAGGGGCTTCGGGTGGGAGCCGGCGCTGGTCCGGGAGAGGATAAAGGGGCGAGGCGATGTGAGCGCGGAGAACTGGGAGCGAAAAGGGTGCGGGTCGGAGCTCAGCTAGGTACGGCAAAGGGGTAACCGTGAGTGGGGGGGCTAGGGGCCGGCCTTGCAGGCAGGAAGCTTGGAAGAATGGGAAGGTGGGAGGCCAGGCCGGGTCTGCCCGGACTGCAGAGGAAGGGGGTGGGGAGCTTGGAGGCAGAGGGTAGTGGCCTCGGATGTGGGCAGTGGGCACCTGAGTTCTGGGCCGGGTTGGAGGGGTGGAGAGGCATTGGAATAGAGCAAGGGTCTGGAGTCTGAGGGTGTGGGAACCGTCAGGAAGCTTGAATTTAAGGTGAAGGGTGTACTGGGTCAGGTTGTGGGGGAGGCCCCTTGTGGGCTGTGATGTGAGACCGGAAAGATAATGGGGACCTGGAGAGCATAGCTGTGTCTCAGCTACTCAGAAGGCTGCTCCAGCACTGGACCCAGTTACCCTTCCACCTGGGATAACAGACAAAGAGAGAATGGTGGAGAATTCATCCATAGGCTGACTGTTCTGGAGTCCAAATGTGTGAAGGCACTTTAGGGAGGGCAGGGCAGCAGCCTCTGTACGCTAGTGGAAGCTGGGAGAAAGATAGGTCCCTCCATCCCAACTTCCTGGAATCCAGATGGAAAGGGGTGGGGACAGTAAAAGGAGTAGACGTGTGTGTACACAGGTGGGCGCCCACCTGTTCTTCCTATATAAAGGGAGGAAGACAATAGAAGTCGGTGAAAAACCCTATCTGTGGTAGTGGTAGTTCCTGGCACTGTGTTGGAGAAGCATTTTGCTGGAAGAGGATGGGTCAGGGACAGCTTCCTGATCATGAAGGATTTAGCTAGCAGCAGAGGAAAGTATATTCCAATCAGAGGACATCACCTCAGGAAAAGGCAAAAATCTAAAATGATCCTCAGTCCAAGAAATAAATCTCCAGTTTCTCAAGGGTTGATATGAAGGGAGGCATCAGTAACTTGTAGATGTTTAAAGCAGTTTCCAAGCTCAGAACTCCTCTTGGCTCCTCTCCATTTCTCCAGAGTGCAGTCCAGGGCCTGGCTCGCAGTGAGTGCTTAGTGAATGTTGATTGAATGAGCAATTGACCTGTGGTAGTGCTTCTGCCTCAGTATTCTCATCCACTCATGGAAAGAGCTTTGTAAACAACGAAGCACTGTACAAAAGAGGCCATTAATATTATTTATGCAGGTGTGCCTACGTTCTGTGCATGGTAGAATGCATTGAAAGTACTGGTAGAGTGCCTGGCATTTAATATGTGCTCAATAAATAGCAGCTATTATGATACGATCTGTGGCTCCAAGAGACCTGAGGAAACAATGAAGAGGTGGGCTAGGCTGGGCTGGCGGTGATGAGTTGGCAGTGGGCAATGGTCTAAAAATGGTTGAATTAGAATATTTAGTAGATTATGGCTTTAGGGAGTAGGTTGTATACAGTAGGGTGAGGTCTACATGCGGTAAAAGAAAACATGAAGCACACAGACAAAAAAAAGTTTTTAAGTGGTTAATAAAGCACTGAGAGAGTCAGGGTTCACCCCAGGTCTCTCTGAGTCAGTTTCGTGCTCTTTCTATCAAAAGAGAAGTTCACCCAATTACTTCTTCACTATGTGTATAGAGTTGATATCTTTTTGTTGGATTTTAGGACTCTCCCCTTCTCTCCCACCTCTTTCCTGGCTGAAATTTCCTTAGGGGCTTATTTCTACTGCCTACCAGCCTGAAACCATTTGAGGGACCATTTCCTTCTTTACCCCAGCCTGGGACTGGGGATAACTTCCCAGATGGTCCTTGGGCCTTCATCTGTATTGCTTGTCACAGAGACAGCAAACTACTCAGCTCTAGCATTTATGTGACTGTCACAAAAGAGAGGGAGGATCTGACTGATGGTTATCTTACAAATGTGGTTCTGCACACACCACTGTGCAGTGACCTGTCTGCTCAGATCTGCCTCAGGTGGCTGCCTGCTGGGATGCTTTTTGCCTCCCTTCCAAATGTCTGTGTAGCCATTTCCCCCATCCTGAGAAGATCCCTTTGTGGGCTTCCATCTAAACATGCCTTGCCCTGTTTTCACAGCACCTTCCGGGAAAGCTATCCTGTGTGCACATAAACAGGTACTGCCAGTACAGTATGGTAGGTGCTAGGAACAAGATGCTCAGAGTGCCAGGGTTGCTTATTTACTCACCCTAAAGTTGTAGCTTTTATTTTCCCCAAGCCCAGTCCCATCTGGTCATCATTAGGTAACAGAAGTTCTAGCTGTGATGCTCCAACCGACCTGCTATATGACTTTCGACAAATCACTTCTCTTTGTGGAGCCTAAATTTTTTTTACCAGTAAAATGAATGGGAATGGATCAGACAGGAATTGAAACAATTTTTACTCTTGCCTCACTCCCCACTCTCACACCTGTGACAGACACAGCAGGCCCTTTTCCTGCTGATTCTACATAAGGCCACATGCATTTTTCTTAACACAGTGTACAAAGCACACTTATATACATCCTTTTATTTAAAATTCACAGCAGCCTTCGGAGGTAGGTAGGTAATATTATCATACCGTAGTTAAGGATCCTGAGGCTCAGCATCTAAGTGACTTGCCCAAGTTCAAGCATTGAATTTTTGGAAAAGCTGGGACCAGAAGCTAAGCTTTTAGTTATGATAAAAATGACACTCCAAAATTCCTTCTAATTCCAGAAATCTAAAAGTGTAAACAGCTGCATCAGAAACATTAAGGCCAATAATATGACATTTACATTGATAATCTGGCACATGGCAAATGCTCAATAAATGTTTATTGAAAGGAGTTACATGCTCTGAGGATTTACTGTAGGTCTAGTGTTGACAGGGTATAAGTTAAAACTCATCTGAATCCAGAAGGGGTGGCAGACAGTTATGTAAAACAAGCTCGAGTAATGGAGCCCAAATCAGGCAGAGGGCAGTTGAACAAAATTTGACTGCAGAAATGAATGAAAGGGACCAATGAAATGATATTTATTGAGTACCTCCCATGGGCCAAGAAACCATGCCAGCTTATTTACATGGGATAACTGCTCAGTCTATTTGTACCACAGCTCTGTGAAGTAGGTGCTAATTTCTCTATTTTAAGGTAAAAATGCTGTGGTTTAGAGAGGCAGTATGATTTGCCCAAGAATTCAGCCGAGGAATAGAGCAGGGACTTTGAACTTACCCATAACACTGGGTAGTACTAGGTCTAGTCTCACTTGTTAGCAGTGAGGCTTGGGCAAATCCTCTTAATTTCCGACTCTCCGTTTCCTTCTTTACTAAATGGAAATAATAATCTCTGTCCTTCCAATTTTATCTCCCAGGTTTATTTAGAGGGTAAAATAAGATAAAGGATATGAATTTGAGATAAGGATCAAATTTGTATTTCGGTAAACTTACTCTTCGACCAGCAATTTCATTTCTAGGGACCTCTCCTAAGGAAATAAATAGGGAAGTGAACAAATATTTATGTAAAGAAATGGTCACTGCAGTTTAGTTTCTAACAATTGAGAGTAGAAGAATAACTTAATGTATAATATTAAAGATTTGGTCATATTACACATCCATTGAATAGAATATAGTCAGCTGAGATGACACTTATAAAGAGTTTTAGAACTCTCAGTAAAATATTTATGATATGTTAAGTGAAAAGGAGCATTAAAACTAATGAAAAGCAAAAAACTATTGAAAATATGAGCTCAGCTATTAAAATATACATAGCAGATATAGACTAGAATGTATGGCATGTTATCATTTGTATATAGATAAAAAGAACAAAAAGACCTGTATGCTTATTATGCAAAGACTATCTCTGAAGAATACATAAATTAGTAACATGTTTGCCTCTGGGGAGAGATTGGGATTCAGGGACAAAAGTAAGATTACTTTTCACTGTAAGCCTTTGGTTCCACATTACTTACTTTTTATGGTGAAAGTAAAGAAAATAATGCAAACCACAGAGAATGATAAAGTAATACTTGCAAATAGTAAAAGTTTATTTGAATTATTTTAATGTGTATATTACCTTATAAGTTAACAAATTGATGGCACTGTGTTACATGAAAAAATAAGGGAGGAAATACACTTAAAGTGTTCACAACAGCAGTTTCTGAGTGGATGATATGTCTGGTAATTTAAAATTGACTCTTTTTCACTCTTTTTCTAATGAATATACACTTTCAAAGAAATTTTCTTTTGTTAACAAACACAGATGACAGGCAGCACAGGGGGTAGGGTACATGATGGTTGTTGTTTCTTCTCTTGTTTTAGGTAAAAAAGGAAACGAAGCATAATTCCCTTGACTCGCCAATTCTTGAAACAGGCTGTACATCTTATACTGTGAAAAATGGAAAAGTCAGGACTGTGGGACAGTTTAAGCAGCCAATGGCACCGTCACCTCCAATTTCACTTTCTTCCTTGTAAATGCTACATCTCAGTGTCCAAGTGTCCTGGTCTGTTCCACACCTGCCTAGTGAGTTTTGTCATGGGGCAGGTTGATGCAAGCATGGGGCCAGAGTCTCAGATGAAAAGGGTCACAGATAAAAAGAGAGCTGGAAGAAAAGAGAAGGAAGAAGAGGCCACCATAGGCTAGTGGTGGCATATTTAAGTATTATAAAAGGGCTGCTAATAATCCCATGTATTTGTCTAACTTTTCTTCAAGGGAGCTTTAAACTTTCTACATTTTTCAGCACTTGTCCTTACCTGAGAGGCCCATTGAGCTAAATCCACCTAAAGAAGGATCTGCAACAGGGAACTGTTCTGAAATGATACAAGTGCTGTTAGAGTGCTCTGGGAGCATTAGGGCAGGGTGCCTACCTCTGCCATGCACTGGGGAGGTGAGACTTCACTGGGATCCACAAGAATGAATAGGAGTTTATTAGGAGGAAAAGAACATTGTAGGCAGAAAGAAGGAATAGGTGTCTAAAGGGACAAAAGCAAGACATACATGGCATATTTGGAGTAAAATGTAATTTGGTATCAAAGTAGTACAGGTTGGTGGGGAGAAGGCTTATGGGAAGATTAAGTTTAGAGAGCTTATTCATTTAGTTGATTCTTTGTCAAGTTGAACAGTCTAGGCGTGATCTTTTGAGCTGTGGGGAGCCATAATGGGCTTTGAAATAAGGGAATGATAGCCCTGTACTAGGTCTTTTCTGGAATGTATACGTGTTTTCTATTTTGGCTTTTTTTTCCTTTTCATTTCAAAACTCTGCTTGGGAGCTGCCTCCTGTAGGGTACTCTCCTTGACAACCATGCTTCTGGGATGAGTTAGATGCTTCTGGTGGGCATCTCAGCCAGGGCTTCCCTCTGTCTTATCATTTATCTACTGCTTTGGTATTCTGTGTTTACTGCTCTTTTGCTCTAATTTGTGGCCACTCAGAGGTCAGACTCCATGTCTGATTCATATTTGTATTCCCCATGCCCAGCATGGGTCTTGACCTGGAGCAATGTGCTTAGTAAATATTTACTGCAGGAATGAATGGGAGGAGCTGGGTTCCACTCCAATCTGAGACAACAGTTGGGGCAGGTGCAGTGAAAGGGTGATTGTGAGTAGTGTGTGTTTCCTCAGTGATGCTGGGGTAGGGAATGAGTATGTGAATGACAGGGTGATCATTTAAAGGTTGGTGACTCAGGGTGACACTGGAGGTGTGTCCCTGAGTGACCACGGGTCTCTCCTGCAGATGGCTTCAGTTACTGATGGTAAAGCTGGAGTCAAAGATGCCTCTGACCAGAACTTTGACTACATGTTCAAACTGCTCATCATTGGCAACAGCAGTGTTGGCAAAACCTCCTTCCTTTTCCGCTATGCTGATGACACCTTCACTCCAGCCTTTGTCAGCACCGTGGGCATTGACTTCAAGGTAAAGACCGTCTACCGCCATGAGAAGCGAGTGAAGCTGCAGATCTGGGTGAGTCTCAGACACCTTGGGCAGGATTGTCCTAAGAGGTGACTAGTTTGCTATTACAAGAGCTGGGAGTTGGGGCCAGTTTGGAACTCCTGGGTCTTATGGCATCAGGCACCAATGCTGTTGCAGGTCTGTCCCCTGGACTGCCCCTTGCTGGTCTTATACAAGTTTGTTCTCTTCTGGGGGCTCAGTTGCTTCTGCTGCTTCACTGTCCAAGTGGCTTTATCCTGCCTGTACAAATGAGTGACCAAGAATCTGGGCTTTAGAGTTAGAACTCTGGATTCATATTCCAGTTCTGCTACTTACTAGTCATGGGACCTTGATTAAATTGCTTAACCTCTCTGGGCCACCCTTTCCTCTTTGAGGATTATAATAGCATCTACATTGTAAGGCTGTTGGGTGTTTAGCATAGTTCGTGGAACATTGTAAATGCACACTAAATGTTAACTACTGTATCCATAATCTATCGTTGCATGACAAATCCCTTCAAAACTTGGTGGCTTCAAACAGCAATAATAATTCATTATCATATAGTTTCTGTGTACTGGACATGTGAGAGTGACTTTTTTTGTGGCTTGAACCTCTTATAAGGTTGCAGCCAGATGTCAGTTTGTGTTGCAGTCATCTGACAGCTTGAATGGGGTTGGAGGATCCCATTCCAAGGCAGCTCACTCACGTGTCTGGTACTGGCTGTTAGCAGGAGACCTTAGTTCCTTCCCATGTGGCTCTCTGCACAGAGCTACTTAAGTGTCTTCATAACATGGCAGCTGGCTTCCCCTAAGAGAAAAGATCTAAGAAATCAAAGAGGAAGTGGCAATGTCTCTTATTACTTAGTCTTAGAGTATTCTGTTGTTCCCTGATTCAATGTAGGAGGAACCTATGCAAGGATATGAATCCTGGGAGGTGAGAATCACTCTGGACCATCTTAGAAGTTGGCCACTACAGCTACTATTACTGATATTTACCAGTGATACTGTATATATATATATATGTGTGTGTGTGTGTGTGTGTGTGTGTGTGTGTATATATTTGAGATGAAATAGCAACATTTAGATCATATACTTCTCAATAATGAATTAGCACTAGGATTGGAACTTTGTGATTTAAAGTATTCAAACATATATTATTTATTATCTGTCCATTCAACTTGTCAAATGTACATCAGTACATTGTGCATATATCTTACTGACATAGGCTATATGCAGTACTTTTCTTTTTACAAATTATTTCTGTTTATTATATTATCTCACAATTAACCCCATGAGGCAGATGTTATTTTAATACAGTCCTATTTTGCAGAAGAAGAAGATTCAGACTTAGAGAGTAATTAACTTGCCTTACAACCACAGAGCTACAAACTAGGATTCCAACTCAGATCTGATTCTTAATTATGTGCTCTTTTCTCTACACTGTACGTGTTAGATCTTATAAAGATCATACTTCCATTTATATAATGTTATATAATTATTATATACATATAATGTTAAGTATTAATTGATATAGAGATAAAAGTTCATTTTGTTCATTTAGCCTCTATTAAAAACATAGAGGAATTATAAATCATTAGAAATTAGAGAAGCTATACAGATCATTTAGTTCATTGGTTCTAGAAATGTGGCCTCCAGATTAGTAGTATCAGCCTCACCTGGGAATTTGTTAGAAACACAAAATCTCAGGCCCCTCTTCAAATCCACTGAATCAGAAACTCTGGAATATGGCCCCCAAATCTGTGTTTTAACCAGCCTTCCAAGTGGTTTTGAGGCAGGCTAAAATTGAAGAACCACTGATTTAGTTTAACTACCTCATGGTGAGAATCAATAAGCATTTATTAAGTACCTATTACATGCGAAGTGTTTCCTCTTTTATTATCTGACATCCTTCTTGTAGCCAATGCACAGAGGGAAGTGAGAGCACAGGATATTTGGGGCATGGTGAGCAACACAGAGAAACTGGAGCAAGGCTATGAAAGTGCAGGGGGAGGCTATCAGGTACAATTTGGGGGTCAGGGAGACTGCACCACAAACAAAAGGCTCTTGCCACCGACCAGAGGGTACATGCCTGATGACTAGTAGGGAGCTAAAGAAACGACTAGAGTTTATTTTTTGTCTATGAATATAAAATAAATGTATACTAACATTTATTATATGGACTGATACAGATATTTTCATTTGATCACCATATATCCTATACTTGAAAAATCTTCAGGTAGGAGGAGACATTCTTGCCCTCTAAGGAGCCAGTGGATGGGGAGTCCTTCTCTCCATTAATTTTCAACCCATTTTGAGATTTTGCAGTTTTGCTATGCCTGATTAAGTGGATTTATTGATTATACTACCTAATTTTAATTAAATGAGCCCTCAGAGTGGATATGTAGCTTTAAAAGAGTCCTGCAAATACACCTCTGATTGAAGACCATACTAATTATAGTGAGCCCAAGTGAGCCCAGAAAATGACTGAGCTGATGTTTACCCAATCCTAGCATGAGTTCACTGTCAGTTATGTTTCAGGGTAAAATCAGTGACAATCTAATTAGATCTGACATAGTCAATCACATTACTTTTGCTAATATATATATTAGAAAAAGGGTTTGTATGTGTGTGTATGTGCTTTTCTGTAGCAAAAAATAAAATTTTTTGTTTTCATTAACACATTAAAATATAAACATGTAAATAGTATTTATGTCATTTGACATCTTTTGTGTACAGAAGTAGATATGTATGGATGTATAATTTAAGTAAATATACAAATATTATGCATGCTGTGCCTACATTTTTCTTACAGGGGTATAAATTGGAGACCACTACCATAGGTACTGAGGAGCCATAGATGGGTATTAACAAGGTCAGATTTGCATTTTAGAAAAATCTCTTGCCTCAGTTTGGAGGGTAGGTGGAAGTGAGGCGAAGAAACCAGTGGTTTGGGTAAATTATAAGGGCCTAAACTAATTGTATTAGTCTGCTTGGGCTACCATAACAAAATACCACAGACAAGATGGCTTAAACAACAGAAATTTATTTCCTTACAGTTCTGGGGATTAGAAGTCCAAGACTGAGGTGAGAGTTCTTCCCTTGGGTTGCAGATAGCTGGCTGCCTTCTTGCTGTGTGCTCATATGGCCTTTCCTTGGTGTATATACATGGGGAGAGAGAGTAGCTCTCTGGTGTTCCCTTATAAGGACTCTAATCCTGTCAGATTATGGCCCCACCCTTACAACCCAGTTTACTTTAATTACTTCCTTAAAATCCCCATCTCCAAATTTTGCCACACTGGGAGGTAGGGCTTCAACACATGAATTTTGAGAGGACATAAGCATTTGGTACAAAACACTAGGACAATGACAAATTGACATTTTGAGATGGAAATGAGGAAAGAGACTTGAGAGATTTAGGACTAGAATTTACGGAATTTGGTGATCAATTAATTGCACAGGGAGAGGGAGAAGCACCTATCTACTTATATATATTTACTTGTATAAACAAAAGTTCTGTGAGTTTTTTTTTTTTAAGCTGGGCTAGTTTTGGTAAGCCACTTCTACGAATAGATAGTCCTCAACTGTAAAAATCTCACAGGTTTGTTGAGGGAGAGCTACATGTGATAACGTAGCATTGTGCCTGGCACATGTTAGAACACAATAAATGTTAGGTTCTTTCCTTTCTTTGCTCCTGATCCACATGCAATGAGTGATTGGGTCCACTGTCAAGGTTTCCCACCTGTGGTTCCAGTAGTGCTGGAACAGCATCCAGGGACTCACAAGCACTGTATGAAGTGTTCAGTTAAATTTTTTCAACCCATTTGATCTTCCCAGGGGATCTCAGAAAGCCATTGTTAGGGTGGAAGGTGGAGAGAGAGAGGAAGGGTGATTATTAGCATCACTGAGCAAAACCATTCACAGAAGGAATTTCTGTCATCTCTGGGGGATGTTGGATGATGAGCACGTTGGTAGTGCCTTGTTCCCTGGGGTCCCTCAACACATGAGTCCCTGAGGGCCCCCCTTTGTTTCCTGAGAGATTACTGTCAGTCAGAGAAGGGAATCTTACTGGAGAGGTGGGTGTAGGGGAGCAGTCTCATTAATAGAGAATGAAAGCATGCACAGGTATGTGGCGGGGAGACTCCGTTACTCCACAGCAACAGACCTGACTAGAGGCCACTTACTGCTGGGTGCTGGTGGCCAAGCAACCCCTGGAGATCTGTGGGAAGATGGGAGTGGCAGAGGGCTTTCCATTACCTCCATGGGGCACCCATTGCAGGGGCTGTTGGGTCTGGTTCTGGTCAAGGGAAGGATCCAGGGGTCTGTGGGAGGACTGATGTGAGCTAGGATTATATTCTAGTCCTGGGTTCTAGTCTTGGCTCTGCCTTACAATTGTTGTGTGAGCTAGAGTTACTTTCCTCCTTTATGGTCCTATCAAATGGAGAAAATAATCCTTGCTCTTCTTGCTTTATGGGTTGTTGTGAAGATTAATGAGGAAATGGAAAGGAGAGCCCAAGGAAAACTATGAAGCCTTGAGTAGATCAGAAGGACTATGGATATTGTCAGCCATGTGAATTCTTCTTGTATGTGTTTTTAAGAATTCTCTGTGGCCTTCACACTTACCCTCTGACCCAGAAAGGTAGGTATCTCATTGAAGAATGAGTATTTGAGGCCGCAGATATCAAGTTACTTGAGCAGAGTGTAACAGTAAACTTTATTTTTTCTTTCATTCCATAGACATTTATCTGGTGCTCTCTCTGTGCCAGGCATTGTGCTATCTGTGGGGAAGCACCATTCCTGCTCTCATGGAGTTTATACTTTACTAGGGGAGACAGTATGTGAATACAAAATACCTGATTTCATCTGTGATAAGGGCCCTGAAGGAAAAGAATAAACTAAGTTTATGAGGTACTTAGGTACTGGGACTCAGAGCTCAGGAATCACTGAACTGGGACTTAAGTCTTATTCCTGGGCTTGCAGCTGGGGTTGAGGCTCAGTCCCAGTCACATTTTAATAGGCTAGCTTAGCTGATGAATG